GGGGCCCAGCCAGCCGCCCCCTTCGGTAAAAAAAATGGCCGAAGGTGGCTGCTGCTCCAACCCCCTCCTCTCCTATCGCCCCCACTCCTGGTTTTGAGCATCCAATCTCCATGAATGAATTTTTTCAGCTGCTCAGTCTTGTGCAGTTCTTCAGCTTAAATGGCTTCTTTTAAACTACTGTAGTATGTAGTTAATTACCCCGAGGGTAAACATTGCTGTCACGTACCGGTGGCCAAACCCCTCAATAAAAAGCTCTCAATAGATGGTGGCACTTTGGAACTGCAGCAGAGCAGCCTGTCAAAGGTTGTTGCTCCAGGAAAATGCTGAATAATGTATATTGCAGTGTTGTATAATGGTGCCTGAGTGTCTTGGGAACCCAGAGTTGGTGGGCGAGTTACTCCCAGTCCTGGACTGACCCTGAGCTCGTCGTGGACTTGAGCTGATTAACGCATCTCTGCCTTGCTGCTGGTTGGCCATGAAATATCGCGTGGCTTTGCGTACTGTCAGAGAAATGCTGGGCTTTTAAAAATGGAGGAAGTAAATCGTGTTTAGAGAACGTGTTTGGCCACAGTGAAGGGCACATCAGAGAGTATGTCCCTAGGAAACGGCGTGACCTGACAGACAATCCACCTGCCTGGCTCCTCTGCCTCTCCCACCTCTTGGGTTCGCCATTTGGGGCTTTACATCACACGTGGTACCAAGCAGGGTCGCGTTTTACATTGGGTCTCTAAAGCATACAGGACACTTATGAGCGCTTACAAAAATCCCAAACCCAAGAATATGCCTATTTCTTTGAATCTGCTTTGACAAAGCAGCCAGCCTGGGGTTGCAAGGCCACTCATCACGAGACGTCCCGCCACCGCAAGCGAGAGACGTGATGGCTGTGGCTGAACGTCTCCTGCAGAACCAGCGCACTCGTGCGCTGCCTCGCTCGCTTCAGTGCTCTGGCAGTAAACCCAGCTGCTCCCTTTGCTCCATCCTGAGAGGCAAAGCTCAGAGACGAGAGTCACCCCACCTCCGTGCCCGACCACTGAGTCACAACGTGGTGACTCAGACGAAAACGCGGTGTTCCCCGTGCAAAGGGCTCTCAGCACCCTCCCCGTGACTGCTGGAGGGACGCTCACTCATCGGCCCCACTCCTCCTTGCTTTATTTGAGGAAATAAGCTCAGATTTTGAGTCGTGTTTTCCCTTTTGGTCAAGCGGGTTTTTTTAACACTGTGTAGCTGTTGTGTAACTGGAAGCGCAAAGCTTACGGCTTTGGAACTGGAAAAAACCCAGGCAAACTTTTTCGGTAAATGTTTGGAGACTTGGAGTGAAATCCTCAAAACAGGTTTTTCATGAAAATATCTCTTGCCAAAGGCGTTTGGAGAGGTCTTAGGGAGGAAGGGAAAAAGTGGTGAGTTAACGAGTTGATACGGCCATATCGGGGAGGGCGGAAGTCACCGGTACCTGCTTAAAAACGCTCACTGCGCGTCACTTGAATCAACTTTACGAACATGTTCACCTCTTGATCGATAACCTCTCCGAAAGGCTGTGGTTCAGGCAGGGTGGTGAGGCACTGGAACAGGTTACCCAGAGAAGTTGTGGCTGCCCCATCCCTGGAAGTGTTCAAGGCCAGGTTGGATGGGGCTTTGGGCAACCTGGTGTAGCGGAGGGTGTCCCTGCCCATGGCAGGGGGGTTGGAACTGGATGATCTTTGAGGTCCCTTCCAACCCAAACCATTTTATGGTTCTATGATTGTTTCATCTGAACCTCCATGACAAATACTATGCAAAGCTGAAGGTTGCTGGTGCCCCAGTAGGAGGGAGGCTGCCCTTTTCTAACACCCAATCTATTAGATAAGCAGAGATGAACTGGAAGGGATAATACTAAAATTCACTAAAACCTAACTCAACAGATTTTTGCCTTTTTTTCGGTACCAGCTAAGCTGTTTAGTTCAGCTGCTGCCTTAAATAAGTAGTTGCTGTGTCCTTAATGACACCAATTAAAGTGTCTGTCCCTTAATAATCATTGGTCAGCCCTGAACTGATTGGGCAGTTGGACTAGACGATCATTGTAGATCCCTTCCAACTGCTATATTCTCCCTTCTCCCTCTCCCTCTTCTCCCTCTCCCTCTCCCTCTCCTTCTCCTTCTCCTTCTCCTTCTCCTTCTCCTTCTCCTTCTCCTTCTCCTTCTCCTTCTCCTTCTTCTCCTTCTTCTCCTCCTTTTCTCTGTCTCTTTCTCCTTCTTCTCTCCTTCTCCTTCTTTCTCCCTCTCTTCTCTTTCTCCCAGCAGCACCATGCCATGGATCAGAATTTCAGCGTGAAAACTTGCCTTTTTCTTTTCTATTGCTTTAAGCCTTGAAGCCAGTTGAGCAACTAAGAGATGATTCACCCTGAACCCGCAATAAAATCGCGGTTGTTAAAATTACAGCTGCTGCTAAACAGCTTTCCAGCCCCACTCCTCCCCCAGCCTTGCTGAACTGGGTGAAAACCACAGCTTTTTCAGGCTTTATTTTTTGGCAGCCTCCACAGAGAAGCAGAAAACGTTTAAAATTTAAAAGAAAAATTGTATTTTATGGAGTTTCTGGGGAAAATAAAACCCTCTGATGGGCGGAAATAGACCCACTCGAGATAGAAACCCCTGATTTTCCCTGATTTAAAAAATTTACCCTGAATAAAGGGAGAGAAAATGATTTTCTTGTGATGCCAGAGACCTTCCAAGCTGGGGGGACATCGGGGACACCCCATGGGTGTCATCCCCAGGGTTCCCGCCCCGTCCCCGCCCCGAGCAGGCGTGTCCCGGTCACCCGTGGATCTCAACCCCAGAGCCATCATCACTGAGAGCTGCTGCACCAGAGGTGAGTAGATGCATCCATCCATGGGGGTCTCGAGTGGGAATGGGTCAATAGCACCGAAGGGAAGAAAACTCCTATTTCTTTCCTAAACTGAGTTTAGAGAATACTTGGGGTGTTTTCCAAAGTTCCGTTATAAATATCCAATCGGCCGTCTCAGTCCCGGCGGGGAGACGGGAGCCTCCTGCTGCACCGTCCCACTGGGACCGGGGTGATAAGAAATCTGTGCACAGGAGCGAAATTACTTCTCCCCAAGGTATCGCAGGGAGAAGTGGGGGGAGCAGGTGGGCTTCTTTTGCCGGAGCGGCACAAGCCATCAGGGGGCCAAAAGCCATCGGCAGCGGCTCGATCGGGCTGGATCAAGCCCTGGGGAGTCTGCGGGAGTGTCCGTACCTTCGGCTTCACCCTGCAAACAAATGGCAAACCCAAGGGCTTAACAAAACGCCACATAAAAGCTTTGGGAGATACGGGCTGGTCAAACAGTCCAGGCTTCTGGCTGCTGCTTGGAAAACTGCCTTAAAAATCATGCAGGCTCAGGAGGATGAATGTTTTGCAGGGATCAAGCCCTGGGGAGTCTGCGGGAGTGTCCGTACCTTCGGCTTCACCCTGCAAACAAATGGCAAACCCAAGGGCTTAACAAAACGCCACATAAAAGCTTTGGGAGATACGGGCTGGTCAAACAGTCCAGGCTTCTGGCTGCTGCTTGGAAAACTGCCTTAAAAATCATGCAGGCTCAGGAGGATGAATGTTTTGCAGGAGGAGGAATGTTTTGCAGGGAAAGGGTTTATTTGTTGGTTGTCAAAACCAGGGGGGGTGTTGTTATTCCCAAGGCAGAGCAGCCAGGTTTGCTGCCAGCTTTGTGCATCCGAATGTTTCTTTCAAAACAGAATTTCCCTTCCTTGTTTTCAGCTGGAATTTTCCTTTGCTTCGCCTGTTTCTGCCTCTCCCTTGTTTGTTTTTTTCCCGCCCTCTCTTCCTTTATGAATGCTCTCTTTGATGGGAGGAGGAATCCAGCCCAGGGCTGCCGCTATTCCTGCAGGCAGGCA